TTTTTTGGTACCAGGGATTGAACCCAGGGGCGCTTAACCACTGAGCCACATCCCCAGCATTTTTTGATTTTTATTTAGAGACAGAGTCTCGCTGAGTTGCTGAGGGCCTCACTAAATTGCTGAGATTGGCTTTGAACTCTTAAACCTGCAGCCTCAGCCTCCTGAGCTGCTGCTTGGATTACAGGCATGCCCCACCACACCTGGAGGAAATAGCCTTTTCTAACCTCTCGCTCCACACGCACACGCATGCAGCCCAGCTCAAGGGTCTCTCCTTTGAACTCCTGTGACCTAATGCAAAAGAAATGGCTGAGATCCATGAGTTTCTGGTCCATGGAGTGTCCCTAGTGTGGATCCGAGAGTACTGCAGATAACAGTTGCTCAGAGGAAGGTCACCTGAGCCAGAGCACCCTTCTCCACCCCAGAAGTGAGGGCACTGCCCCAGCCTGAGGCTCCCAGAAGATATCATGGTGCAGGCGGGGCAGGTGGATGACATGCAATTGATATGCTCAACAGCTGGTAGTTGGCTCCTGATAGTTGGCTGCTGTGTCAACTCGGACTTGGCTGCCAATCACAAGCTTAGGGCCCATGGTCTTACCTGGTTGGAGAGAAGCAGTGAGGAGCAGACAGATCCACTTCTCTTGGGGGTCAAGGGGGTGGGCCGCGTGCATGCACTGGAGGGTCTGGCAGTAATCTGAGGTCCAGGGGCTGCTCCGAGGAGGAACTGAGCTTGCTTTTAGCTAACGCTGCCAAGGCTGGCTTCTTACCACACAGGAGACACAGGGAGACACCATAATTATAATCTCAGACTCATAACCTTTCCCTGATTGGATATTATTCCATAGCTCCTCTAGCGCAGCTGCTCATTCCAGGGTGTCTGCTAAAGAGGAAGGAGCATCCTCGGAAAACATGAGGGAGGAAGGGAAGGAGAGCAGAAAGGAGAAGCAGAAGAGAAAGGGTTCAGTCCGTGAGCTCGGGATAGGGACGGAGCAGAACACACAGTATCCATTGTGTAATTTTAACTCACAACCACCCAGCGGCACGAATCAGTCCCTGTCCAGCCCTGTGATGAGGTCTCGTGCAGGGGTGTCATCTGATTAATGACACCTTTCACCCCCCCTACACACACTAGACTCGCTTCTCACTTGAGGTCTCCACCTTGCACACCCATCCCTCAGTCACCAGGCCCTGGCCACCAGACCTGTGTCCTGTCTTTGTTCTCAGTGCCATAGCCTGGGTCAGGTTCCTGCCCCTCCCTCTCCTGGCTTCTTCTTTTTTATTTTTCCCCTTGAGGTGCTGGAGATTGAACCCCTGGCCTTGTGCATGCGAGGCAAGCACTCTACCCACTGAGCTATATCCCCAGCCCATCTCCTGGCTTCTTTTAGGAGCCTCCTAAAGAAAGTCCCTGCCTCTGGCCTCACTCTCTAATCTGTTCTGTGCACTGCTGCCAGCAAGTTTTTCTGAAGCAGTTCTGGCCACACATTCAGGTAATGAACCATTCAGGGGAGGAGATTCAAGGCCTTCACAGCTGGGCCCCTGTCAGCCCCTTCTCCTCCCACCTCCTGCCTCCAGGAACCTCCATGTTAGTTCACACATGCACACACACATGCATAGATGTGCACTCATACATGGACACACACATGTGCACACACCCAACATCATTTTCAACTTTACACTAGCTGTTCTCTTCACCTGAAATTCTCTCCCCCCTACCTGGTGAATAAATCCACAGCCTCAGGAATCCTTAAAATCCTGTTCTAAGTGTTGAATCTCTGGAATCACATTCTGGAGTTACCTTGAATCTGGAAAAACTCCAGTATAGTCCTGTTTTAGTCAGCCTTTGTGTTGCTGTGACAAAAGGAGGAAAAGTTTATTTTGGAGCTCAGAGGTCCCAGTCCATAGACAGCCAACTTCCTCGGGGCCTGAGGTGAACATCATGGCGGAAGAGTGTGGCGGAGGAAAGCGGCTGAGAACATCACACCAGGAAGCAAAGAGAGAGAGTTCCCCTCACAAGAGACAAAATATAAACCCCAAAGGCACACTCCCAGGGACCCACGTCCACCAGGCACACCCTACCTGTCTACCGTTACCACCCAGTTCATCCCAATCAGTGGATTAACACACCGATTAGGTAAAGGCTTTCGTAACCGAATCATGTCAGCTCTAAGCTTCCTTGCACTGTCTCACACATGAGCTTCTTGGGTAGCCTCACATCCAAACCACAACACATTCCCACCCCATCCCTGCGCCCTCCTGCCGCCCAGTCCTACTTCTCCATCTGGCCTTCACCTGGTCCTGGCCCTACCAACTCTCCTGCCACATGTGTCTCCCTGCCTAGTTAGAACCCTCTGGCAGCAGAGACTCCAGGCCCACTCCAGGTCGCACATGGAGCTGGACACCAAACAGAGACTCACATAGCACCTGGGAGATCAAAGTGGGAAAGAAATTCACTGAGCAGGCCACAGACATGGCTATGACACTGAGTGACCATTCAGGAGTGCTGATGAGCTCCTGAATGTTCTGTCAGTACGTTATACCTCCGTTTAATACCTTCATCTCGAGTAACTTAGGATAATAACCAATATGGCTGCTTATGGAAGACTGGGAAATGCCCCTGACCTCACTGTGCTTACCAACACCACAGGGATCTCCCCTTCTAAATCTGACTTCAGGGGACTTCATTTGAATGAAAGCTGTCTGTAAGCCTATCGCTCACCCCCACGGTCTGATACTTTGTCTTGTCAATCAGTGCAGCCAGACTTTCACCATGACCAGCAACACTCATGACAAGCCACAATTATCAGAGGACACCAGAGAAGACAGTCTGCCAGGACAGCCTTTGGGGATCATTTTGTCACCTTCTTTGGAGCTTTGAGCATCCTGTCACATCTACCACCCACCTGAGAGATCACAAGATCTCAAGACAAATTTGTCTGAGTAAATTATTAGACATCTTGACCCCATGATTCAGCCTCATTGCAGATGACCAAGGAACTGTCAGTCTGACTTCCATTCACTCATGAATTCAACAGATAGGCCCCCAAAGCCCCCTGCCTGCTGAAGTTCCTTAAGGGCTGGGGACAAATTAGCAAATCCACAGAATCTCTGCCTTCATGGAGCTGAGATTCTACCAAATAGCAAACATGCAATAGGAAAACGGAGAGAAATGCTTTGGAGAACAGTCAACAGAGACAGGGAGACAGGAAAGCTGGAGTGGTGTGGTCCACTATTTCACAAGAAGAAAGACGGGGCAAGTTATCCTCAAACCAAGCAGAGGCCGTTTCCCGGTGCTTAAGAGCTAAGGAAAAGTCAAATATTATAAAACTATAATAACAGAGTCTACTCTAGTCCCGGAGAGTAAAGGGGAAGGAAATCCTCCCCTAAGACTGCGGGGCCGTTAGTGGAGAGTCTAGGGTGGCTCCCAGATGCCTCTGGGGCTCCCCAACACCCTTCCCTCTGAGCGCCTGCACAGAAGCTCAGTCCTCCTTTACATACCCACTCCAGGGCTCGCGGCTTCTCCCAGCTTCTCCCACCTTCTCCCAGCTTCTCCCAGCTTCTCCCAGCTCCCGTGCATCCTCCATAGCCTGCATTGATTCCACATGTTCCCCACCCCTGGAATGGCCTCCGTCCCTTCTCTTCCAATTTCCAGCCACTCGAGGCTCAACCTGGTCCCTAGCCATGAGACAGCTTCTGTTCAGGCCTCTCCCTCTTCTGAGTCCCCAGATCGTGGGGCAACAGTCCCTTCTGACCCTTCAGGAGAGATGGCAGCATCCAGCTCCCCCTCCACGGGATGGTGTGCCCTTTAGGACAGTGGCATTCTGAAAGGTCTCCGTGTTTCACACCAGGCTGTGCACACGGAGTGAAAGGCAGGGTGAGGCCCAGGCTGCATCAGGAATACTGTCTTGTTCATCCTCACCCGGGTGAGTCAGGGTACGTCAGGCTGGGCACAGGGCTACATTCCAGGGACGAGAAGCCATTTGTCCAAGTCATAGGAGGCACTTAGGAGACACTTGATGAGTGAGACACCAAACAAACACACACACACACACACACTGTCCTATCTCCTGCCTCAGACATGCCCCATGTGCTTAGGCACATGGCCCTGGCTGGGCTCTGACCTCAGCCCATGTCTGGCTTGGCCTCCAAAAGAAAGTTCCTCTGGTGTCTTCAACAGTGATGAATCTTGGGAAAGAGACTTAATGCAACCACTGACCAGGTTTTTGTGGGGGTTTCTTGTTTGTTTGTTTTGTTTTTTTTGGTACCAGAGATTGAACTCAGGGGCACTCGACCACTGAGCCACATCCCCAGCCCTATTTTGTATTTTATTTAGAGACAGGGTCTCACTGAGTTGCTTAGCGCCTCACTTTTGCTGAGGCTGGCTTTGAACTTGTGATCCATCCGCCTCAGCCTCCCAAGCCACTGGAATGATAGGCATGCACGGCCACGCCCTGACCAGGCTTCCTAATCTCAGTCTTCTAGAGAACTTTCTAGATCCTTTCTCAATACTGAAAATGGGAGCCCAGTTTATAAGTTCTAAGTGTATTCAGTGACAGCCTGGAATCAGCTGGAATCAGGTCTAATGAGCTGGCCGTCTGCTCTCCTGGAGAGGAAGGGCTTCCCCAAAGCTCAGCTAGCAGATGGCAAACCAGCCTGGCCCTCAGCTCCAAGCCCTCCACGCACCCAGCCTGTGAACAGCCCCCCACACACACTCTAAGTGCTGCTAAGTGCTCCCTTAACTAGCTGCGTGGAGGAAGACCAGGACTTCCTCCGGACCCCCCAGTGGCTGGGATGAGCATGGGCATCGTCTGTGGCTCCCAGGGAAGGTGTGGACCTGAGACTGCTCGTCTGTCAGCTCATGTAAGAGAGCTTTCAGCACGCAGCCCTGGGCAGGGAGCCGGGATGCTCCCTCAGCATAATCAGACCTCAGCTGTCATTTCACCAGAAACGGGGTCACCATTATGTTAATAAGAGGCACACACATTTCTCACCTATCTGAAGGGGAGCTCGAGGAGGAATTAATTCTCACAGTGGTGATGTGGATTTGATTGCTGATGACTGGGAAGAAATCAGCCCCAGCCTGCAGCGTGAGCGCCCCACTCCCCGCTCCCTGGTACCTGGCTCCAGTCTCACCCTCCTCAGAGCAGGCTCAACCCTCCCCCTGCAGAGCCAGCAGGAAATGGTCAGAAGAAAGCTACTAGCAGTCACCAGAAAACAACAGATTGCAAGATGCAAGAGAAGGAGAGGTACCTCCTTACTCTGCAGGGAGGGTGACTTGGGAGACCTTCCAAAGACACAGGGGGCACCGACATGGCCACTACTCAGGCAGCACGGCCTCACCCTCATGCAGATCAAGGATGAGATGCCAAAGCCAGGGCACAAGGCCTGATTCCACCCTCTTCCCCTCCTTTCCTAAGACCCTTCAGTAGAGAGCCAATAAAACATCATGGTCCCTAGATGTACTTTTTTTAGGGATGGTGGCAGATTTGGGGAAGGGAAGTATTATGGTTAGATGTGGTTTCTCCCCACCAAAACTCAGGTCGAAATTTAATTGCCAATGTTAATGAGGGATGGTGGAAAATTAAGAAGTGTTTGGAGCCAGGCGCGGTGGTGCACACCTGGCATTCCAGCAGCTCAGGAGGCTGAGACAAGAGGATCACAAGTTCAAAGTCAGCCTCAGCAACTTAGGGAGACCCTGTCTTTAAATAAATATTTCCAAGGGCTGAAGATGTGGCTGCGCAGTTAAGTGCCCCTGGGTTCAATCCCTGGTACCAAAAAAAAAGAAGAAGGAGAAAGAAAAATGTCCAGGTCACAGGGGCTCAGCCCTCATGCAGGGGTTAATGCCGTTCCCACGAGAGTAGACTGGTTACCAGGAGCGGCTGCTGCGAAGCTCCAGCCCTCTTTCCAGCTCCTCCCTTCACACTGCAGGCTTGCCTTTCTGATTTCCACCATGAGCTGAAGAGGCACGAGCTCCTCACCAGATGCAGCCACCCAACCTTAAGTGCACCCCTTTCAGAAGCATGAGCTACAGAAACCTCTTTTCTTTGTGTGTTACCCAACCTCAAGTACTTTGTTATAATCATAGAAAAGGCAACAAGATCCTTCTCCACTGGTGCTCCCCGCTGGGCACTGCAGCCTCCTCACTAGAAGTACTGAGGGTGGCAAGTCACTCCCCACAGACAGCTGGGAGTACCACCCTAGCACCTGTCCCCACCCCAAGCTGCCCCCTTGGATCTTAGAGACAAGCCCTGGGAACAGGACAGAACCAGTGCCACCTGGGTCAGGGTGTCAGCTTGTTGTGGCACTCACCACCCAGATGAAGCCTCTGTCCCAGGCAGTGCAGGAGGCGATGCTGGAGATGGCTCCTTATACACCCACCCCGCACACCTAGTTCTCCCTAGTGGTGCTCTTCCTTCCCCTGGCCTCCTCCCTCCCTCTCCTCCCTCCTCCCTCCCACCCTCTTATTTGATGACTCTGCTCATGATCCTGG